AAAAAGTGAGCAAACTTAACATCCCTTTCTATACTTATTAGGTTCAAAGAGAGAAAACACTAATACTGAGAGAGAACTGGAAGACCTTAATTTTTAATTTTTCTGTACTGGAGGGCCAAATTGCGTTCACCCAGTTTTTCTGCTACTTCTAATGATTACAGAGGCATCACGTGAAAGTGGGAGGCTTAGAAAGGGAGTACAGGAGGGCACAAAAGACCCCAGAGCAAGATTGAGAGACGCAAAAGTACTTTTAAAGACTTTTCCTTTCTGTGCTCCCAGTTTCCATTCCCACCTGCCCTCTACATGCTTGTCTTAGAATCATTTTTAAGAGCTGTTTTTATACTGTTTCCCCCCACTTTTTGCCTTGTCTGGATTTTCTTTTGCTTGGCACGGTGCAGAGACTGTCTCCCCCTGTTAAGCCCCATAGTGTGGACTGGCTGAACCGGCTTAGAGTAGTGTAGCTAAATGGGTTTAATACATGCAATTTGAACGGTTATATTTCCTGTTCCTCATATTAGCTCCTTTTTTGGCCTTGAGTAATTTGAGAGGAATAACAAGATTTGTGACACAGGGCTTGATTCCGTCCTTCTATTCTTCTTCTTTTTAATTGAGGGGAGGAAAAGAAAAAAAACAATTAAAACTTACCCTTTAAAAACAGGAGTCAAAACCCCGAGCAGGTTGCAGGGTGACAACAGATGCTATCTTGCTCATCACCAGAGGAATGTGGGCTTTTCTGCTGTAGAGGTTAAAACCAGAACTTATCTATTCTCAAAAATTGCAGTGAGTTTTTTCTCGGAGAGCGACCAGCGTGCAAAACCTGTTCTTTGGGCGGGGCTCGGCAGTTCTACATTTCGTTCCTGATAGACGACTGCTTTATTTTCTAAAGTTTATGGGTCAGAAGAAATAAAGCTTTTCAGTGCATCTGTGTTGCAGACTCAGCTTGGGATTTGAAATCTCGTAGCTCGTGAATCACCACCAGCAATAAAGGTTTTTAAATGTGCAGCAGAGACGGAGCCCAGGTTTTCCTGTGTTTCTGAGTGGCTGATTTATTGAATATTTGGATTTCAACAGCTGCAAGAGCACGAATACTGCAGGGCTTTCCTTTGTTTCTGCATGCGTGTTGAATTTGTCAACTGCTTTGGGACCTCCTCTTGGCGGGGTGCTGTTGGGAAGTGTTTTACTGGGATGTTTACCTTCAGAGAGGTCGAGAGAATTTGGGCTTTGAGAAAGCTCTGACCGTTGAGGCTCTGAAGGAAGGCTTGTTCTCATGGTATGGAAAACCATATTCACTCAAGACCTGAAGATCTTTGTAGTAAAACAGATTACCCCAAGAAACTGAGTATGCACCAAGATTTTGCATGTGTGCAGACATCGACTCAGACCCTAAAAGAGCGCGTAACAGCTCTAAGCAACTTTTTAGCAGAAGAGAAAACTCTGACCTGCTCAGCATAAAGTTAATTTACCACCAAGCTTTGCTTTTAGCAGTTGCTAACAATTTCTTTTTTTTTTTTTTTTTTTTCCTCTTGCAAAGGAAAACTTCTAGGCGCTCCCTGGCCGACTGGGAGCTCAGTGTTCCTTCTGCCAAAGGGCAGTTCAGCTTGCACACAAAGGCTTTGGGATTGCATGGCTGGAGAGGAGCTGCTGCTCCCAGTGGGAGCCACGGAGCTGAGGCACTCCGGGGAGATCTGGGCTTGTTAAATGAGGCCCATGTGCAGGGAGGCAA